CGAACGCATTGTATAATTTGTCTGATCATTGATTACTATACATCTATTAAAAAACCATAATGGCCGACATCAGTAACAATGCGACAACAATTGAAAAAGAATGATGGCTGACAACTGCAACAATTAAAAAAGAATGACGGCCGACACTACGTCATAGTGGAGCAATAAAAATGGCCGGGGACAGGGGGAAAAACTAGTTATTTATAATAAATGTAATTGTTATAATCAATAAGTAATAAAAGAATAAATTTTGATAAGAACAACGACAAGTTAAAAGTGTACATTTCAATGATCTCTTCTCGTACAAACATGACGTATAACTCTGAAGGGCTATTCTACTGCTCATTTGATCAAGATTCGTACAAGAACAGTAGTTTTTTTTTAGCAAAAAGTTGGCTAACGCCCTTGGCTCGTGCTCAACTTCACGAGTATGATAATCCAGTCACTTTTTTAACTTTCTACCCGCATAATTTTTATGCACATTTTATTAAGCTATCGTTATTTAATTTTATTATTTCTCAAAGTGAACTGACCATTACAGTAAATTTTGCTAATATAATTTATATTATATATAATGTACAAATAATATTATAATTCCTTTACAGATTGTATTCGCTGCCCTTGTGGCTCTTGCGGTTGCTGTACCTGCACCTGAGGCTAAGGCTGATCCGGAACCTAAACCTGCGCCTGAAGCCAAACCTGGTATTGGCATTGCTGCCGCTGCTCCGGTAGTCACTGCTTACAGCGCTCCCTATGTAGCCGCTTCCGCCTACCCATATGCCTACTCTGCTTACTCTGCACCTTTGGCATACTCCGCAGGATACGCTTACCCAGCTGCTTACTCAGCTCGTCTTATATACGGTTAAATTTTTGGCAAATAAATGATATTTAAGAAGCATAAAACTGTGTTATTATTCCACTTTGTCTGTCTGTCTGTATGAATGTCTACATTTTCAAGAATATATCATAATCCCTAAGTAAGGTTACGCACCGAAAGGCCTAAAAGGTTGATTTAAAATTTACATATAATGAGCAACTGTTTGGTCCAAGGTTAAAATTTGCATTTAAAATTATGAAAAATAGAATTTGAAAGGGATACCATGGAAAGACGGGGCAAAACATTCTTTAATTTTTACCTTCCCTCGTGCGATATCGTTAGAAAGAGCTTTGCAAGTAGAACACAGAAAATTAATTTGTTTTAATCCGTTCCACTTAAATTGGAAATTTTAAGGGCCACCAAAATGGAAATTTTTAGACAGCACGTAAGAATATTTTTAGACATATCATTGACTTAAATCGTTAAATGAATTTTAAAATTACAATATCTACGTACTACTAATATATAAAATGATACATACATATATATAGAAGATTATATGAAATAAAGATTCATATAAAATAAAAAAATATCGAAGNTACGAGGTCTGTTCTAAAAGTATCGCGAATTTTATGTTTTTTCATGTTTTTTATTCATTAATATCTATATTGTCCCCTTCAAAGTAATCCCCACCAGATATTATACACTTGTGCAAACGTTTTTTCCAAGCCTCGAAGAATTTAAAGAAATCTTTTTTTGTGATCTTGTTCAGCTCTTCTTTCGATGCCGCTTTATCTTCTCAATCGTAGGGTAGCGTCATCCTTTCATGGGCCTCTTTAATTTAGGGAACAAGAAAAAACACAGGGGGGCAGATCCGGGGAATAGGGTGGCTGCGGCATTATTGGTGTGTTGTTTTTGGTCAAAAAATTCGCGCGCAAACAACGATGTGTGAGTAGAAACGTTATCATGGTGCAAGAGCCAATTTTTGTTCTCCTACAAATCCGGGCATTTCTGGTGTATTGCTTCGCGCAAATTGCAGGTAATCTTGACCGTTCTACCCTGTACAAGAACTCATGAACAGAAAATTGTAAGCAAAACCTTCACATTTTACCTAATTTGGCGCGCTTTTTTCGGACTTGACTCGTACGGTAGCTTTCGTTGGGATGATTGAGCTGTGTTTTCCACGTCATAACCGTGAACCCATGATTCTTCACCAGTTATGACCCTCTGGAGCAAATTTAGGTCGTCGTGGACAGAGTCCAACAGATCCTTAGCAATGTTAATGGGATGCTGTTTTTGGTCGAAATTGAGCAATTTTGGTACGAATTTCGCGGCAACTCATGCCCAAATCATTGGTAAAAATAAATATGTTTAGGCAACTTCCCTAACGGTAATTCGGCGATTGGCCAATACTATTTTCTTCACTTCATCAAAGTTTTCATCTGTTGTTTAAGTGCTCAGGCGCCTGGCATGCTCTTCGTCGTTCGCATCTTCTCGGCCCTCTGAGAATATTTTGTACCATCGATAAACGTTGATTCAGGCCAAGGTAGCTCCACCATATGCTACTATCTACATTGGGAATGCATCCGCGCACTTAATTTTGTTTTTCATACAATATTTGATACAGATTCTTTGACCCATTTTTTGGAATAGGTAAAAATCGAAGACGAGCCAGAAGACGTGCAAGCAAAGCAGCTGGCAAAAATTAACTGAACATTTAACATGACCGAACTTTTCGGTATAAGTGAGAGACATGAGTACCAACATAACTCTAAAAAGAAAATCGAAAATCGAATATACGTAACCCGCGGAAATTCAAAATTCTCGATACTTTTTGAACAAACCTCGAACGTTGGAAGTAATCTTGGTCTAGCTTTAGGTTTTGGTTCTGGCTCTGCTTTTGCTGCAGGCGCCGGGGCAGCTGAAACAGAGGCCGCTAAAATTTTAGAAATTTCGGAGACTGTTCGAATAGGTCTAGAGATATCCATTTAATGAATGTATAAATGTACGAAAAGGGCTTATTCGTTTTGGGTAGTTAAAAAGTAATCAACCAGTAGAATATTTTATTAATTTATTTAAATATTTTAAATAAGACAAATCCAAATATTCAAAATAATAGCGTTCACTAGCTCACTTAGTAGAGTAATAACTACATTGTGTGTGACAATAAGAACATTGCCAATAAAGGAACAATAAAATTTGGTTTTTTATAAAAATTCAAAAAAGGTACAAAACACATTTTTTTTTCTGAAGTCTCTGGAGTAAAACTGGAGAGTTGATAACCCTACTTCGTGTCATCACATCATCAGTAAACGTAATGATTTGTTTTAACTGTATTAGCAACAAGTTAACATAACAGACAAATAGTAAAGGTCTCAGCACTGTGCCGTGTAGTACTCCTATGTTAACAATATTGTATTAGTTACTCATGCCTTCAACAATGTATTTGGTAGTATATGTAATTTATTTGTGATTTAATAAATTTGATATTGTTTAAAGTTTTCAATTTTATATAAAAATTACGCATTGTATATATTACGAAAATTGTTAAAATAAAACTAATTATTCATGGATACACTTACCAACTGTAACACTTTAGACATATTAATTAATGTTAGATGCATTGCCAATAATGAATTTCAAAATTATAGGCTTTACATAGCTTTCGCAATTCACATTTATAGTACGTTTAATACATGTAACCTTATTCTTCTTATTTGTTTTCAACATAACATACATACGCAAATAAAACGTACTCTATGTCTGGACAATTGTGTGTAACATTGACCTTAACCCTAAGCGTCGTAAATACATACGTAGCTGGTACGTTTTGCAAATCCTCTATATCGAACGCATTGTATAATTTGTCTGCCAAAGTAGGTTAGTTGTTCCTTTTATTGCAACTATTCAAAGTGTATTATTATGCAACGCAATACGTAAATGACTTCTGTTATTACAACGGTCGACATGATTTTTGGTTCTGGCTTCTGAATGAGATAATTTAGGTTTCTTCTACCTTACCAATATCTAAAGGAAAAATAATTATTTCGATCAAAGTTTGATTTTGTAGAAACTAGAGCAATTTTTCGAATTTTTTATAATTTCAATTAGAAAAAGGTTTACTAAACATCAGAGTCTTTTTAATTCAAGAATAATGATAAGTAATAGCACACAATGTTCAAAAATGAATATTTTTAGTGATTTTATTATGTTTGTTTGAAATTTTTCGTATTATGCCCCAAGTGTAATGTCCCATCATTTTCTCGTTGTGTTATTCTTGGTAAGTCGTTAACATTTTGGTGAAAATTTTCTCCTTGCTGCTCTGAGTAAGCACTTATATTACTTTTATATTGATCCAGGTGAGCATGCAGCATATGAAGTTTATAAACTGCAGCTCATAATTTTAAAGCTTCCAATCATAGTTTTAATACATTCTTGATAATTGTCACCTCTATTGTTTCCGAGGAAACCATTAACTACTACTCTTTCAGGCTTCCTTTTCAATAATATTTAGTAATTGTGTGAATTTATCACTGTTTTATTTATTATTGTTTTTTGTGGTTCTACGAAAACACCCGCTTAAATTTAGCTTCAGTTAATTAGGGAATGAATTCTTTTAAAAATTCAAAAGCTTCAGAATTTTGATTATAAATTGCATTATTAGGCCTAATTTTAATTACTCTCAGGCTCTACAATTGGTTCGGACTTGACATTATGTTTTTCTAATCTGCAATTCGACTCGATCAGGTCGTATGTGCACTTGGCAATGTACTGAATCTGCGCTGTTATATCTCATAAGCAAAACTACAAGATATTGTGGTGTGCTAATAAATGCGTATAATAAAAAATTCTTAGAAAACCACTCGAAAAACTTCACTTATTAGATGAACCTAAAGCTAAAAAAAACTATTGATTCCATTTCTTTCTCTTATTATAATGTGTAAAAGATCAGAAACAAAATGGGGTTGTAAATATTTTGATATAAAATAATTAATGTTTACATCAATAAAATTATTTGCAACCCTATTTTGGTTTTGACCTTTCACGCTAAACAAACTATTTGGACATCAGTGTCCTTTTTTCAATTAAAACGGGTGACAAAGGCAAATAAGGAAGCTTATAGAAGAATTATTTGTTGCTGAACTGAAGAAACTATAACATAAATATAGAAAACTATATCTCAGTCACATCAAACAGAAAAATATAAATCATACTCAACCTTCGCAGCTGGTGATATAGTGCAAACACAACTAATGAAAAGCGATATGTTGCACATTCAACGACGACATATTGGAAACATTTAATAATAATCTCTGTAGTTTTATAAATAAGAAAAATAGGAGAACTACTCATGAATCTTTTCGCAAAGCGCGAAAAGTGAATAATTTGTAAAAATATTTCGGACAATTTTTAAATGTACCATCCACATAAACACTGGTCACATGACGAAGTACTTCTGCCCTCAGAAGTAAAGGCATATATCGAGCCAAATTTACGTAAGACAATAAAAATACCCCGGACGAAATTTACGTAAGGAAATAAAAATACCCCGGATGGAATTTATGTACCTCTAGATCTAGAAGTTCATTAGTTTATTTCATACGAAATATACATCAACCCCCTTTACCCAATTCCTTAATAGTTACAGCAGTTCCTTAAGAAAATCAAAGTATTTCTATTTGTTTAACATACAACAAAAATCGGGCTTCGTACTTTTCTTCAGAACACAAGCACAGGTTCTAACTCATTACCATGTGGCCGGTATTTATTTAATAAGCTTTAAGTTTTTTTTAAATAAAATAAAAACGAAAAGTGCACTCAAAAAAAGCGCTTCGTACTTGTGTAGATAATAATGAGAGCTTTGACTTGAGACTTCGACTACTCTTCTAACGTGTATATATACATAAAGAGTAATCCATTTAATAAGGTTCAAAAAAATCTCATTGGTCTAGAAACGACTGATGTGGGACCTTAAGCGGAGTCACATTGACACATTGACGAGCATGGATTGAAACTGATATAATGTTATTTTGAAAAAAGACTAACTCTTATAAAATTCATGTAGGTGGCATGTAATATGAGCCCGAAGATTAATTAATGAACACTAATTAGATCATTACTTACTTTTCTACCAGGATTTACACAAAAGTATATAGTTTCGAGTTTCTTTTACTGTCTCGTTTCATTTTTTTTTTCAACGTGGGTGTTCTGTGAGGGTCAACTTTTAACGATCAACGTTTCTTATAAGGTATAAACTACAGGCTGGTTTATACAAAAAAAATCTGTATCAAAAATACAATACACTACATGAGAATAACCTTCAGAGTACAAAGTAGACCATGATTTTCAAAAGGGTTTCCCTATTGAAGTTAGTAAGTGAGACGTGTCAATTTTCTTATCACTTATGGTATAACGTACAGGCAATAGGGAAGTAAATATTAGGGAGGGAGTCAGACAGGGATGCTCACTGTCACCGCTAATTTTTAATCTATACATCGAAGACGCAATCAACTTCATTAAAGACAGAATAAATGTACGGATAGATATACAGGGGTAAAAGATAGTATGCTTAGATTTGCGGATGATATAGCAGTATTAGCATCTAGCAAGGAGGAGTTAGAGATAGCTTTAAATAAAATAGAAGTGGTATTGACAAAACAGTACTGCATGAAAACAAGTATAAGCAAAACAAAAATACGGGTATGCAAGGGAAGAAAAAGTAGGGAAAGAACGATTATAATGATAGGAGACGAAAAATTAGAAAAATTGGCCGATTTTAGGTATCTAGGGAGTCAGATAAGTAAGGATAGAAGGAGTAGTAGGGGTATAAAGCAGAGGATAGCGCAGGGTTAAGTCGCCTTCAATAAAAAGAAGTCACTTCTATGCTCGCGAGCGGTTAATTTAGAAATTCGAAAAAGATTGTTAAAGATGTATGTTTGGAGCGCGGCGCTGTACGGGTGCGAAACATGGACAGTGGGCGCGGCGGCAAAGGTTAGAAACGTTAGGAATGTCGTGTTACAGGCGAATTATGAGAATATCGTGGAAAGAGAAGGTTAGAGAGGTACTAGAAATACTTAATAGAACAGAGGACCCCATGGAAGTCAATACGAAATAGATGGTATAGGTTAGTAGGACACCTTGTTCAGGCATGAAGGTATAGTCAGGGACGTATTAGAGGCAGAAACGGAAGTTAGGAGGGGTAGAGGTAGACCTAGATTAGATTACCTACTGTAGGATAGGAAAGAGTGGAGGTGCGTGTCCAACCAATCTTAGAAGTGACGACCTTATGATGATGATGATAGCGTTCAGGAAAAACCCAACAGGAAAATAAAAAATAGCAGACAGTACACAGACGTTTCTTGGTAGTTTATCTTGATTACGTATGGTATACATCTTTGGCATTGTACGGGTGCGAAACATAGACGGTGGGCGCGGCGGAAAAGAAAAGTTTAGAAGCGTTCGAAATGTGGTGTTATAGGCGGATGATGAGGATATCGTGGGTAGAAAAGGTTAGAAATGAAGAGGTATTGGAAAGAATAGGAGAACAGAGGACTCTATGGAAGTCAATAAAAAATAGGCGAGATAGGTTGGTAGGACACCTTTTCAGGCATGAAGGTCTAATCAGAGACATATTAGAGGCAGAAACAGGAGTTAGGAGGGGTAGAGGTAGACCTAGATTAGATTATTGTTCGCAAATAGTTAAGGATGTGGGCTGTTCTAGTTTTAGGGAAATGCGAAGTTTAGCTCAGGATAGGAACCTTGGAATAGGTCAGTCCAACCGGTCTTAGGACTGACGACCTTATGATGATGATACATACTTATGCTGCTACATTAAGTTTAAAGTTACTTAATACGGAAATAAAGAAAAAAAATAACCTATCAACGAAATTTTTAGAAAAATCTCAACCACCTTAAAGAAATTACTGCTAGTGCAACTTTTAATACGTTTTTATATGAAGCAAATTATTAACCGCTGAACTGAACGTACGTTATTGTTCTCATTTGTATTACCCGGAGCTCAGTGTTACGGTCAACGTTTTTCCATGACCATTGATTCAACTCCTTTAAAGAATGACAAGGATAACAAACCCTACCACATTGTAACGTGAAATAAACGATTTTATAACAATGGGGATGTCAACGGTAGGTATATAAGACACTGTTCTGTAAGGAACAAATCAGTGTTTAAAAATAATTCAATCAAAGCATCAACATGTTCAAATTGGTAAGCTAGTTATTACAATTCTTTTTTTTAGTATTCCATTTATAATTAAGTAAGACTCTTAAAGTTTCTAGTTAAATATTATTTTATTAATTTTATCAGTAGTTAACGATAATGCGAAACTTTTGGTGATGTGTGAGTGTATTATTCATTTAAAATTTTACTATAATTATGAAACACCTTGACATTTAATAGAGGTTAATATCAAATATTAACGTGCCGGGCTCGATTCCCGGCAAGGGCGCGATAACGCAACAACTTTTTCCCTCATTAATTTGAGATACTTCATAGTGGGAGAAAATTAAAAATGAATTTTCACATTAATATTTAAATTTTTAAATAAATGTGCTTTGTGTATGGTTAAGCATCAGAAAACTGAATATGCCTTTTCATTTACAGTTCAATGACAATAATTTTTTTAATAATGAATAGTTAAATCCATTTAATTGACAGCAATAAAAAAAGGTTCTAACAAAGTTAAGATTTAAATAATCTTGTTTTTTTAAAAAGGAATTTTTAACACATAACTTAAGAAGATGCGTGCATCTCTCACCATATCGATAATTTGAAAAATTAACTTTTCAATTTTGGTTTTTCATCCGCATTTTTGTACTCTACGAATTTTTTATAAAAAAAAGGGAAAAAATAATTGTACTAATCGAAGTAGAGAAGTAAATATTAGGAAGGGAGTCAAACAAGGATGCACACCGTTCCTGCTACTTTTCAATCTTTGCATTGAAGACGCGATAAACATTATTAAAGACACGACAGGGGATAGATATACAGGGACAAAAGATAAGTAGGTTTAGATTTGCAGACGATATAGCAATATTAGCATTAAGCAAGAAGGAGTTAGAGACAGCCTTAAATAAAATGGAAACGGCATTGACACAACAGTATTGTATGAAAATAAATAAAAGTAAAACAAAACAACTGATAGGCCAGGGAAGAAATAGCGAAGAAATAGAAGAAATTGTTTTTCGGTATCTAGAAAGTTAGATAATTCAGAATGACAGGAGCAGTAGAGATATAAAACAGATCATAGCGCAGGGTCGACTCGCGTTCTACAAAAAGAAGTCACTTCCATGTTCGAAAACGGTTAATTTAGAAATTCCAAAAAGATTGCTAACCTTGTATATCTGGAGAGCGGTGCTGCACGGGTGCGAAATATAGACGGTGAGCGTGGTGGAAAAGAAAAAGTTAGAAGCGTTCGAAATGTGATGTTACAGGCGAATGATGGGGATTGATGAGGGGGGTATTAGAAAGAATAGGAGAGCATTGGTCACCATGGAAGTTAATTAGAAATAGACGAGATAGGACAGTAGGGCACCTTTTCAGGTATGAAGGGCTAGTTAGAGACATATTAGAAGCAGAAACAGGAACTAAGAGGAGTAAATAAAATAATAAAATAATTCGAAGTTGTCTGTATTCTGTCGAAACTGCCAGGCGCGTATCGCGATTTCGATCTTTTTGGATCTCATCAGCGCGTCGCAGGCAGCTCCGACAGAACACAGACCAACTTTTACCTGCTGTTTTAACAGCGCGTTTTAGAAAATACCACAAATGGCGCGGTAAACGCCATCTGTAGTACGATGCTACTTCTGTCGGGCTGCCTGCGACGCGCTGATGAGATCCAAAAAGATCGAAATCGCGATACGCGTCTGGCAGTTTCGACAGAATACAGACAACTTCGAATTATTTTATTCGATTATGGTAACGTGCTTATTACGTTGAGGTTAGCTACGCCGAGATTCGTTTCAGCAAGTAAATATCCATATTTTTAAATGGACCTCGTTGGAGCATACGTCATCCTAAAATGTAGCATCGTACTACAGATGGCGTTTACCGCGCCATTTGTCTATTTTCTAAGAGGAGTAAAGGTAGACCTAGATTATATTACTGTTCACAAATAGTTAAGGAAGTGGATGTGGATGTTGTAGATTTTCGGAAATGTGAAGATTAGTCCAACCAGTCTTAGGACTGAAGGCATTATGATGATGAAGTAGTTTGCAAGAGAACTATTATAATAAAGTTGTTATAATAATAGGAAATCAAATCGAATTTGAAGCTTTGTCGGGGTGTGTCACCATGTATTGCTGGTAAACTGTAGAAACGGATGGTACATGAGTCCCAAAAGAAATAATAAATATTTAAAAGTGTTATGAAGATTGGAAAAACTTTGGCGGTTGTTGTAGAACAAACAGAAAAGCTCAAAACCCCAAAAACCGAAAAGTGCTTCGGACAACTACAGTGTCGTGTTTTGGCGTTGGGGTTTTGAGCTTTTCTGTTTGTTCTATTTAAAAGTGTGTATAAATAAACAATTAAAAGCAACACCAAAAACCACGTGTTGAGCTGTGGTTTTACTACAATAAAAACTTTTTGCTCCTATTTGGCTCTGATTTCCTATTATTATTATCATAAACTAAAGGGAAAGAAATGGAATAAAATCCATCTTAAAGTTGTCATATACCAATATTTTCAAGGTTTTCTTTTAAGAATTAATAAGTATACCGAAGTTAGCTTATCTTATAATTTTTTATTTATTTGCTGGTTTTACTGTTCTTTTCCTTTTTCTTTGCAGTTTGTATTCGCCCTGCTTGTAGCATTTGCAATGGCTGTTCCAACGCCTGAGGCAAAATCCGATCCGGAGCCTAAAGCCGCCCCTGAAGCCAAACCAAGCGTAGCAATTGCCGCCACTGCTCCTTTGGTTGCCGCTTACAGTGCACCCTTAGTTGCGGCTCCTGCTTATTCATATTCATACTCGTATTCAGCTCCACTTGCTTATTCAGCTGCCTATGCTTACCCGGCAGCATATGCGGCACCTGTTGTATATGCATAAGATTTTTGAATAAATTTTATTATAAAGTGCAGTAATAACCTTATTTCAGTATGTTGGTACTGTCTAGTCATTTTCACAGAAAATATTAAGTTGTGCGTTGCAATTATCTGAGGAAATGAGAAAATGTATCGGGTTGTTCGGAGTCATTTGGTTTTTTTTTTTTGTGGAAATGAAAGACAGTTTCCGTATAATAAACAAATACTTTATTAAATTATATATTGACCGTTCTGGTCCAACACCTTTTGCCATCTTTCTGGTAGTAGCATAATTCCACGCTCATAAAATTTTTGGTCTTTGCTGGCAAAAAACTGATCGAGGAGGTTTTTGACCTCCTCATTTGAGGTGAAGGTTTTACCGTCTAAAAAATTTTGGAGTGACCGGAACAAATAATAATCCGATGGTGCCAGGTCTGGAGAATATGGTGGGTGTAGCATTGTATCCCATTCAAGCTGTAAAAGCTTTTGGCGAGTGACCAAACTTGTGTGAGGTCTCGCGTTGTCTTGGTGAAACACTACACCTTTCCTGTTGATTAGTTCTGACCTTTTCTGTTGAAGTGCATCATTCAGTTTGTCCAGCTGATGACAGTAGACTTCCGAATTAATCGTTGTGTTATCCGGTAAAAGCTCAAAAAAAACGATTCCTTTAAAATCCCACCAAACAGACAGCATCACCTTTTTTTGGTGAATATCGGCTTTGGAAATGGTTTGAGCCGGTTCATCTTTTTTGCTCCATGACCTCTTGCGTTTGACGTTGTTGTATACAACCCATTTTTCGTCCCCAGTGATGATGCGCTTCAAAAACGGATCATTTTCGTGACGTTTGAGAAGCGAATCGCAGACGTCAATGCGGCGACACAGATTTCTCTCTGTGAGAACATGGGGAACCCATACATCGAGCTTCGAGGATAATCCCAGGCCTTTCAAGTGGTCATAAACTGTTGAATTTGATAAATTTAACCTCAATCCGATCTCACGTGTTGTTATTCGCCGGTTCACATCAACTAATGCCTTTATCGCGTCTTTATCAGCTTCAACCGGCCTTCCCGAACGTGGTGCATCTTCGACATCAAAATTGCCGGATCGAAATTTAGCGAACCAGTTCTGACACTGGCGTACTGTCAACACACCTTCTCCATACAAAAAAAAAAAAACTTTGGGTGTTTCATGCTAAGCAATGGTCTAGACCTCTAGGCCATGCCGCTCGGTCTCCATACACATCAGTCAATTTCTTTCTGGCTTGAACAGCATTTTTACCCTTTCTGTTGTACAACAGTAAGATATGTCGAAAATGCTGCTTATCGCTCTCCATATTTAAAAGGGCACCAACGAAAAACTACTGCGTAGAATTAATTGGAATTTTATACACACAAGCCTTGCTATATGAGCTCAAAGCATATAAAAATTATACGTCTCAAATGTGAAGTTGGGGGCAAAAAAATACAATTAAATCCTCTGCCGGGAAAAAACGAAGTGACTTTAAATTCTAGGCTTTCCAAAAAGCAGAAATTATTCCTTCATCACTTTGAAAACTAAACAAAAATCTTTTATTAATGGGCTTTTTTAAGCAATTGCAAACAAAACAAGTTTGTAATGGACACAAAAAAGAGATAGTTAAAGGTAAACAAATTTCTGAGATATTAATATCGGAAAAGTAGCAAAACTGGAGAGAGAGAGAAGAAATTGAATTTTATTATATATATAAACAGCAGATAACACTGAGTACATGCGCTCTATAGGAGATACAGTGATAAACAGCAAAATCTGAAACCTTAACAAGCCTTTGCGTAGCGAAGAAACAGGGTAAACATCTTCTTTAATAAATACTCTCACGATCAATTAATGATAAACAATGATTTACCAAGACGTTACGTGAAGACAGATATTTAATATATTTAATGATCAAAGTGTCGCCTCATTGCATTTACTTTAAAATACACTCTTTTTGTAACGTTTAATGTATTTCAGCAGAGGTTTCACTTCAAAAAAAACTTTTTAGTCGGTCGTCGCATATCGTCTAATCATCACCATCATAGTCCTAAGACTGGTTGGATACGCACCTTCACTCTTTCTTATCCTGAGCTAATCTTAGCATTTCCCTAAAACTAGAACTACCCATATCCTTAACTATTTGCGAACAGTAATCTAATCTAGGCCTGCCTGTACTTCTCTTAACTCTGCCACTAATATGTCTAGGGTTGCCACCCGTACTTTATTATAATAAAAGTAAGTATTGTAGTTTATTTCGACTGTGCGTACGTTATACTTTACAAGACACATAAAGTACGCAAAAATATTTCATTTAAGGCCTTAAGTAAACATCGTAATTTTGTAAGCGATTATTCGAAATCCAGAGTATTTTTACATCAATAATATTTAACAGAAAAAATAGCAAGCCATATTTACGGGACAACCTGATTTCCCAAATCTACTCAAGGTAGTGTCACTTTTGCTGTCCGTTCCGGCCACTTCAACATTTACAGAAAGAGTATTCTCTGTTATGAACGCAAAGTGGCGGGACGGCAAAAATAAAGCTACATTAAAACTAATTACAAATGAAGTTTTGGTTTACTTAATTCTTTGTTTGCCATGTTTAGAGGCTTATTAATGTATTTAAGAGCGACAGCAATTTGTTACTGCCTGCTAAGTGTAACAAAAAAAAATATGTTTAAAAACAAAAAGTAAAATACTTTATTTTTGTGTTGAGTACTTTTTTTTTTAACCTTTTAGTCGAGAAATACTTTATGTAAAGCCTGAAAAGGTGGCAACCCTAAATATGTCTCTGACTAGACCTTCATGCCTCAGAAGGTGTCCTACTAACCTATCTCGCCTATTTCTTATTGACTTCCATAGAGTCCTCTGTTCTCCTATTCTTTCTAATACTTCTTCATCTCTGACCTTCTTTATCGATGGTATTCTAATCATTCGCCTGTAACACGACATTTCGAACGCTTCTAACCTTTTCTTTTCCGCCACGCCCACTATCACATGTTTCGCACCCGAACAGCGCCGCGCTCTAAACATAGACTTTTAATATTGATGAAATACTTTGGAAAATTATTTTTATAAGCAAACACTTGGAGCGTTTCTCACCACTTTTTTGTTAATCATACCTGATGCTTTTTCTAACGGCTTCTTTAAATGTTACAATTAGGTTCACAGTATTCAAAAGGAAAGTAGCCATTTCTGAGGGTGGAGTGTTGGAGATGGGGATTTATACATAATAAATATAATAACTTTTAAAAAATAATGAAAGACTTTTTAAACTGATCAGAAATGAAAGAAATATAAAAAGGTCGTAGTCGTGGATAACATTAGCCTACAAAAAACCCTTAGGTTAGGTTGCGCTTTGCTTAGGTTAGGCTTGCTCTTAATATTTGTGATTTTCAAGTTTCCAAAGCTCAAAACTATCCCGAAGGAAATTCACTACAGTGAACTCCACATCCATACCATAATATCATCGAAACGGGAGGGACGAATACTGATTGAGATTTTACCACTATTTTAATGTAGAATTCTAAATTTAATTTAAGAAGCACATATATGTATACATATCTAAAGAATATCCTGCATACTTACTTACACGATTTCTTAAAAATTCCCAACATGGACACATACGTGATTGTTACGTGTACATTTTACTGCACATGCTTGCTCAACGGTATGCTCCACGTGAATTCTTATGCTCAATTGTTTTCGAAACAACGAAAGCAGACGTAGAAAAATATGACTTCCAATTATTTCATACAGATACTGTTACACATGTTTTATAATATGAGTTCCATAGAACTCGTTTAAAAGTAGCCGTAAAATTACACAACCGATTATTTTCTAATGAGAAAAATCATTCAAATTTTAAATGACAATAAAATGGATGCTACTGGAGAATTAAAGTTAAATAATGTGTAGTGAAAAAAATTAATTTACTTTAATATATTGAACACCCTACAAAAATTCTTCTAAAATGTTCTTATCATTGTTGATAATGATATTGGATGAATTTAAACGATTTTTCCATTCCAAGATGTTTATTTATTGAAATGAGTAAGACTATGAGACTATTCTGTTACCTAGCTTCGTAACCCTTGTCAATCTAATAAATCACTCACATAAATCTATAATAAAAAGATAAAAACACTAGGTATATCATAAAACGATGATCTCTGTCACTACATCATAAAGTCGTCAGTCCTAAGACTGGTTGGACACGCACTTCCATTCCTTCTTACCCTGAGCTAATCTTTGCATTTCCTTAAAACTACAACATCCGACATCCTTAACTATTTGCGAACAGTAATCTACCCCTACTCCTCTTAATCCCTGTTTCTTTCTCTAATATGTCTCTTACTAGACCTTCATGCCTGAGAAGGTGTCCTACCAACCTATTACGTCTATTTTTTATTGACTTCCATACAGTCCTCTGTTCTCCTATTCTTTCTAATAACTCTTCATTTCTAACCTTCTCTATCCACGGTATCTTTATTATTCACCGGTACCACCACATTTCGAACGCTTCTAACCTTTTATTTTCCGCCGCGCCCACTGTCCCTGTTTAGCACCCGCACAGCGTCGCGCCCCAAGAATAAGAAGGGCAAGACAGAAGAAATAATTAAGTCATAATTTTAGCAACTGATAGATGTTGTTACATATTTGTAGATACTTTTTAATTCTCAGCATGTTTTCATTATTAAGGTTTATGCTATTTTCAAAAATAACTTACACACATTTCAAGTTTTATGTCAAAACTTGTACATAACTGTCAAATCATTAAGTCTGATGATACCTATCATTGTGTGTTTTAGACTATGCAGGACTTTTTATAAGGAGTTATTGTTTTTCGTAAGTTTAATAATAAAAAGTTCCCATATGCTGCCAACTTAAGTCGACACTCAGTATATTTGTATAAAGATGAATTAATTTTTAGTTTTTTTTTTATAAAAAATTTGTTTGCAGTTCTCTTTCAGTACCTACTTCTTTAATACATTACGACATACGCAACTAGTTATACAGGGTGTTTTTTCAAAAAACATTTTAACTCTGTCAAACACAATATCATAAAGTGTATTTTGCTAGTTGCCAATGGTCGGATTGGGCGTCGAGGTGGGGCTGACAATTACCTATATTTTTTATTTTCAATTTTCAGAGATGATGAGTAATAAGTAAAATAACCAAAAATGAAATTGTTTTGCAATATATAGCTTCCATTTCTTTCCTTAACTTCTATTATATGTAGAAATCAAGTCTAAATAAGGGTTGCAAAGTGTACTGGTTGTAAAATCAACACTGACGTTTTGCGGTCTGTTGGGGGGCTTTTTCACGATAAAATTTTTAATAGTAGTACAGTGGTAGTACATGGACAGTGGGCACGGCCTAAAAGAAAACATTAGAAGTCTTCGGAATGTGGTGTTATAGGCGAATGATGAGGATAACGTGGGTAGAAAAGGTTAGAAATTAAGAGGTATTAGAAAGAATAGGAGAACAGAGGACTCTTTGGAAGTCAATAAAAAATAGGCGAGATAGGTTGGTAGGACACCTTNCGCACGGTGGTACTTAACAGAAAGATTGTGATGCGTTTAAAACATTAGTGCTGTTTAATATAATCGTTTAAACATTTTAACTTGTTTTTCTTCAGAACAGTTGGTTTGAAAGAAACCATTAAAACGTTTTAGTTTAAAACAGTTAACAAAACACTTGGATTTTCAGTAGTACGGGTTTTTTCAAAAAGTTTTGTGAGTTCGGTTAGTTTAGAACAGCTTTCAGAGATATAGGAGATATTTTGTAGATAGACATGGTTGAAAAAGTACATTCCAGACATTTACCAAATTATACATTTTCGCTTGTGCTACATAAAAAGAAATAATGTCGACAAAAAATGTGTAATTTTTATGTTTGGTAAGCGTTTTGCTTTACCTGTATAAAAGTACTTCGTATTTATTGCGTTGTTGTTAATCACTAAATGCAATTTCACGTTAAAGGAAACCTTGCTTACGTAAAAACTGATGCACATTTTATCTGAATCCGGTTTATTGTTGAGGAACTCGATCCTGATTTAACAAAAATGCGAACTCGTTTATCGTGCTTATTAAATTACAATTTCGTATCTTGATATACGCGTGTTGCACAATGTAAAAAGTGAATCCTTCGCAAGGACTCTCGAACTGCTGTTTAACAAGCAAGCGGCGTCATCCAGTTAACATATCAGGTGTTAGTCAGGGTTACACGTCCGTACCAATGACGATATCCCGTGATGCGTTTCAATAATAATTTTAACATCTAATTAATTATTAATGCAAATTAGTTTTAGGTCAATGAAACATTATATTACAAATATACACCCCACTTATATTGCTTTGAAGAACAAACCCCACTTTAATTAATTATGAATATGAGAAGGGTTTAAATCAGGCAAGTAGCTATATAAATTGTCAACAAAGTTACATTTGATTATATGTAAGTGGTTTGTTATACTGCAATTAATCAATCGAAAACATTATGTTCAAAGCGGTAAGTAATTTTATTGTTATTACGGTTATTAAAATCTTTAAAATTTTCGGTTATTTACAAACGAAAAGTGTTCCAAGTCCTTATTTCTTATTTCTCCATAATTTAAAAATATTAGATATACAGAGTGGCCCAAAACGTACGCAATATGCTCACTGCAGCCAAACTGTATGTTTAATCGAAATTTTTTTTAAGTAAAACTTATTCCTTATTTCAATACAAAATCTTCTGCCTTATCCAAATTTGATTGATTATGTAGTGTTCAAAAAAAAGACAGAGTAAGGTTTCGTTTAGATAAATGGAAGCCATGTGATATATGGGAAAAATCGAAAAGTTATAGGAAAAAGTAGTTCAGAATACCAAAATATGGGGCTATGCAAAAAAATGGTAGCAGTATTCAAATTTTGTTTTTTATTTTATTGCCATTTAATCGAAACCTTATTTTTTTTTTTTTTTTAGACACTAGAAAATCAATATNGTAATAGTTTTTTATTATTAATTAATATTAATAAATACACATAGCGCAGAGAAATTGTTATTTTTTTAAGCAGCTTTTTAATGAAGGTATGATAGGTTAAAGGATTGCCGTTTAAATGCCTTTCGAAATATACAATTACCCCAACTGTGTTTGTGGCTTTAATTAGTCGTTAATTGTTTAGGCATTTTGTGGAAAACAGTATTAAAACAGTCAAAAAGACGGTTTTTATTCATGAAAGTATCTTTTCTTAATACTTCTTAGTTTATCCCAATCGAAAAGCTCTTTTTCTAGTCTAATCTAACATATAACGTTATTTAAAAATTAATTTCTCTTTACATACATATAATTAAGTCGATTCGATGGGACAAATTGAAAAAAAAGAAATTATAATTTGATGATTGAAAAATGTTTCTTTTCCTTTAATTACTATTTTTTGTCAACAATTAATAAGTTAAAAAAGCCAACTGAATAAATATTGGGAGGATATCCCCGGGCATCCACCACTTTGGCTAGGGTTCTGTGATCAGTTATTATTTTCTTATCTGAATCTAAATTCAAATCATTACCGTTTTGTAAATTTTTGAAATTGATAAACGTTACAGTATGCGCACTGTTATTGAAAAGAAGGTGTTCAATCCAAATTCTCTATAACATTTCTAGTGGTCGCATATGGTGAATGATGAATTAATATATTTAGTATTTTATAAACTAAATTTATTGGGCAATGTGTAATATTATTAAGGTTTCCTTTCAAGAATTTCAAGATAGAAGTTTATTTTATAAATCTTTATTTAGTTCTTGTTTTTACGATTTTGCCATTCAAAGTTCGACCGGACTACCTTAAATAAGGTTGATGTACTCTGGAATGAATTTTACTCCTGGAATTTTTTAATAGTCGACGATATAACTTTTGGCAATTTTCAAAGCAGGAAATTTGTTTTTTTTTTTTATTAAATCGTAGCTCAGCGATTTGTTCTGCATTTGTTTTCTGAACGAAAATGAAAAACGTACACACACACACCGGTTATATTTTAATTTAGCCCTTAAAAATTGTATTATTGAGGTGGTTGAACCTTTCTAAGCGAAGGGAGTATTAAAACTTTTAGAAAATTTTAGAAATAGAACTCTTCAAGCGGATATAAAAATATAAATAAGCTGTTTATTCGCACGGTGGTACTTAACAGAAAGATTGTGATGCGTCAAGTGAAAACTGATGGAAATTCTTTTTCCGGATTCTCCGATATATGTCGCTTCGAGTATATTTCATATTCTTCCGACCTTTTTAGTGGATTTATTTTGTGCTTCCTGCTAATAATTTAAATCTTAACAATACCTTCCCTTCCGCACCTGTAAAATTTGAAAATATGAAGCAATATGGTGACCGATAAACTCACAATTAGACAAAAGAAAATTTCACTACCATCACACACTTTGGTAAAACATGAAATAATACAGATTGATCCTTGACAAAATACCTATTGATCCTTTAAAAAAATACGGCAATAACTTTTATAATTAATGGTAAAACAATCGAGTTCAAAACAAGCAACACCTTAAGGAAGTCATAAACATATTCATAGTTGACGAAAAACGAATGAAATAATCAAAAGTTTATAAGTGCACGTAGAAAATGAAAAACGAAAATTTACCTAAAGATTAAAGCGATATTTACGATTTATCCCACTAAATAAATAATAAGAATTACAATTTGGACCGGAATTTGTAAAAATAAAATCGCAGCAGAAATAACTAGGTATTTTAGTTGATATTATAAATTTAATTGTAATAATTAACAAACGAAATAATTTTTAAAGAAACATTAAATGTGAGATTATTACAAGTTACCTAATAAATTTTAGTATTTCTACGGCAAATTCAGTCATATACAATCGAAAATTGTAATTTTTGTGTTGTCATAAAAATTTAGTTTTCTCCGTGTAAAAAATCTGAAAACATACATAGGATTGACAGCACGGAACTTCGAAATAAGAACTAACAAACACAAAAGGAGCTACAATCTAAAAAAGACAGATTCCACTTATTCTAACCAGAAAAAAAAAAGAAAATTATAATTTGACAAGAAACATATACAGAACAAAAAGCTATTAATTAAATCTACTGGAAGAAGCAACTAACAGATATAAATATAAATAAAATGTAGACTTACTTCCCAAATCTATTCCTGAATATCTTTTACCTCCACGTTAAATAAGATTGCAATTAAGTGATTGTAAATTCTCCGCATTCTCTAACACATTTAATTGGTTTTAGTGGTTTTCCTTATATAGTTAACCAACCATGCTCGAAGCTTCAACCGTTTGCTTTTCAGTTTGACTATAAAAATCATTTTTTATCATATCATTTATCCGTGAATTAATTTTAATATGCGATTCATATTTGCCAACGCAGACCTTTTTACGGACGGTTTTAAAAAATGCTGCAATTTTTCTATAGAAAGCATTCATAAGTCTCTTACTGTTACGGAAGCTTTCGTAAGAAACGCGTTCGCTCGACCGTTTTTTCGTCACTAATTTTGTAAAATTGGTTTCCACGAAATGCATATACAGGCTGTGAAGGTCCATTCTAAATATTGGTAAAAGAATTTTTGAAATCGGATGTTTAGCACTGAAGTCCTTTAGTGTGATTCTAGATGCCAACCACAGTAGTTGGCGAAACGTCGGTTAAATGACTCCATCGGTGTTCTCACAGTAGAAGAAGACAATACCACGGTTATCAAACTCGAATGACAAAAGTTATTCATACCACTCTGAAACTGTTACTAATAGTTTAAGAGGCTATTTTTCATTTGTACTCTTAAAAAAGGACTAGTCGTCCGAAACAATTATTGTAGAGTTGTTAAATACAAAATTTCAACGCTTTTCTAACCAATTCAAACTTTATAAATACATAAGTTCTGGCTTTAAGTAAGAGGGAGTGAATAATTGTCACCCTTCAAACAGTTTCTTTTTTAGTTACTTTTATTTTGATCTTCCAGATATAAAACTCTATATTAACAGAAGTCAGTTTTGTTCACCTAAATCTCTTTTTCGTGCCTGTGAACGGCCCACTAGATGAAAAAGAATATCGCATACACATTTTTGTGTATTACTGTTTGAGTCCGTTAACACCCTAATTAAGGCGCTAATAAAAGTAGTAATTTCATTTCCTTCTGATTTGTCTGTTTCCCTTTCTTATTATATAAGCACATTTTATTACATTGTTAAATAACTTCTGGAGCGACGACCTAGCAATGTTCTTAAAACGCAATTAGAAAGCGTAGGTATACTGACAATAAATAGACAAATATTATTTTTGCAGTTACAATACACAAAATCAATCAATTTTCTAAGAAGATGTTACTAGTACGGCAGCAGTGTCCTATTTTCGATACTCATTGAACTGCACCAGTCGAAAATGTTGTATTACTTTAGTGGACAATTTTGTTGGAGGAGACGGGCTTCGACAAGTCCTTGCCTAATGTTTTTAGAACTATATGTAATAGCTGTCTAATTTGATAGATTAGAATTCCCTACTTCATACAAAAGTAAAGTGTAGTATTCCACATAATAATCATCATCATAAGGTCTTCAGTCCTAAGACTGGTTAGAAACGCACCTCCACCACCTTTTTCTATTATAAATTAAACTTCGCATTTCCCTAAAACCAGAACAGCCCACATCCTTTACTATTTGCGAACAGTAATCTAATCTAGGTTTACCTCTACCCCTCCTAACTCCCATTTCTGCCTCTAATATGTTTCCGACTAGACCTTCATGCCTGAGAAAGTCTCCTACTAACCTATCTCGACTATTTCTTATTGACCTCTTCATTTCTAACTTCGAACTCTTTAACCTTTTCTTTTCCGCCGCGCCCGCTGTCCATGTTTCGCACCCGTACACCGCCGCGCTCCAAACATACATTTTTTTTTTCATATATCACATACGAGCTAAATTTTATTGCATCAATATTCACAATTGACAGAATAATAAAATAATTGAAAACAAATTTCAGGTGATTCTTTTCGCTCTCTTGGCTTTAGCCGCTGCAGTTCCTGCTCCAGAGCCTGAAGCAAATCCAGAACCCAAACCATCTCCGAAAGCCGATCCATCTATTATTGCGGCTGCTCCAGTAGTGGCTGCTTACAGCGCCCCTGTGGTTGCTGCTCCAGCTTACTCATACGCGTACTCTTCGTACGTTGCTGCACCAGTTGCTTACGCTGCTCCCTACGCATATCCTGCTGCATATTCTGCACCCCTTGTTTACGTATAACGCAATGACTGTTGAATAAACGATATGTGTTAATTAAAAAATTGTTTCATTTGTTAAGCTTATGTTAAACCTGTTAGTACTCAATAAAATCAACAAAATTTGGATCAATCGTTCAAACGTTGGCAAAACTTGAAAATATGAATTATAATACTCCAATTTTATGGAATTATTTAAATTATTTTTCTAAAGAGACGAATTCAGAGAAATGCAATCAAAAGGGTAATTGACGCTTTTTGAAATCACTAGCTGACCTCATGATAAGTACAGGCCTTGGCAATCATTTATTACAAAATAATACTAAGGTTCTTTTGAGTTGTGACTCGTTTTCAAAATTATAGTTTCATTTTATTTGTAAAAAACAAATTATTTGAAAAGTATAATAACAAAGCTATAGACAAAATCGCCTTAAGTTAAACACCTGTATATGGTTTTGATTGGTATCAAATAAAAGGTATAGGTGTATCTATATGTGCAGAAAAATCAATAAGTTGAACAACTAGTAAGGAAGGGTTTACTGGCTATTCAAAATGCGCCACCTGAAATAACGAGAAACGTAAAAATTTTAAAGTTTCGTCAAAACAAAATAAACAAAAAAAAAAGAAAATTTTAACTTAATTGATGTAACTAGACAAAGCCAGGCTCCNGGTTAACTACATTTTTGTAAATGATTTCTGTCCGATGAGTGTTAACTAAAATAAAATTTAACAATGTTGTGTATAGGTACAAAAAAATACTGTCACTTCTCAAAAATATTAAATAGTTTTAAACCACATCTTATTCTTAGTCATATATTCCGTTTTTGTCAGTTAGGCTATTAAATTAACTAACAGTAAATAAATAATTGTTTTATAAAAATTTCCACTTGGTAATTATTTTATTTGGGCCTTAGAACAAGTACTTTTCACAATAGACAATAGAAAATACACATTGAAAAAAAGTTCTCTTGATTAATACTTAAAGGATTATTATTTATCAAGCTATCTGGTGAAACTATACGACCTCTGTGTTATTTCCTCATAATAAATTGTAATAAATTGAAGAATCTTAATTGTTTTCCTGGAATTGTCATTTTTACTACACATTAAGCAACAGCTTCTATAATACATTATTAATTTCCGTTTTATGGTAGAATTGTCTCCCTTTTCCTTACTGATTTTTTTTTTATAAAAAATTTGTTTGCAGTTCTCTTTCAGTACCTACTTCTTTAATACATTACGACATACGCAACTAGTTATACAGGGTGTTTTTTCAAAAAACATTTTAACTCTGTCAAACACAATATCATAAAGTGTATTTTGCTAGTTGCCAATGGTCGGATTGGGCGTCGAGGTGGGGCTGACAATTACCTATATTTTTTATTTTCAATTTTCAGAGATGATGAGTAATAAGTAAAATAACCAAAAATGAAATTGTTTTGCAATATATAGCTTCCATTTCTTTCCTTAACTTCTATTATATGTAGAAATCAAGTCTAAATAAGGGTTGCAAAGTGTACTGGTTGTAAAATCAACACTGACGTTTTGCGGTCTGTTGGGGGGCTTTTTCACGATAAAATTTTTAATAGTAGTACAGTGGTAGTACATGGACAGTGGGCACGGCCTAAAAGAAAACATTAGAAGTCTTCGGAATGTGGTGTTATAGGCGAATGATGAGGATAACGTGGGTAGAAAAGGTTAGAAATTAAGAGGTATTAGAAAGAATAGGAGAACAGAGGACTCTTTGGAAGTCAATAAAAAATAGGCGAGATAGGTTGGTAGGACACCTTCTCAGGCATGAAGGTCTAGTCAGAGACATATTAGAGACAGAAATAGGAGTAAAGAGGGGTAGAGGTAGACCTAGATTGGGTTACTGTTCGTAAATAGTTAAGGATGTTGGTTGTTCTAGTTTTAGGGAATTGCGAAGTTTAGCTCAGGATAGGAAAGAGTGGAGGTACGTGTCCAACCAGTCTTAGCACTGACGACCTTATGATGATGATGAAGTGGTAGTAGGGATTGACGATTCAAACAATCGCAATCTGTAGTTACATTTGCTTTAAAAATCGCTTGACATTTGAAGGTTTCGCTTGTAACGGAACAATTAACGGTAGAACAACAAAAAAGAAGACAATAAACTTTAAATTAAATCAAACCGATCAATTGTTTAAATTAATAAAATTTATATGATATAAAAGCTTGACGCAAGAGCTACGTCTGTAAATAAATGTATGTATGTATTTGAAAAAATAAATTAAAAAAACTTGTGAAATACTTTCTTCAATTATATAGGACAAATTATCAAAGTACTATTAATTTTTTAAAAGTTGCTAGCATTTTATTTATTTATAAGTTTAGTAGTTGGTGCATGTTCTAGAAAAAATCATTGATAAATAATATGCACATTTATGGTAAGTATACCCAATAGACATTGACCGATTCTTTCACTTTAATATTATAAAATATTAAAGTTGTTTGGCCCACTTTTGATGTATCTACACTATATATTTTCAAGGAATCAAATTTGGAACATGCATTAATAGTAGACCCAATAAACTAACTAATATATTTTAAATTTAATTATTACATTTTGCAACACAAAGTCTGATATTGACGACCTATGCACATACGAGTATATAATATTGCATTAACTGTAGGGTCTGGGAAAAATAGATTCTCAGCATTAGCACCAGGAATAATTGCCAGATTTATTGTGGAAATTCGTAAGGCCGTCAGTCCTAAGACTGGTTGGACACGCACCTCCACTCCTTCCTATCTTGAGTTAATCTTCGCATTTCCCTAAAATTAGAACAACCCACATCCTTAAGTATTTGTGAACAGTAATCTGATCTAGGTCTACCTCTACTCTAATTAATTCCTGTGTCTACCTCTAAAGTGTCTCTGACCAGACCTTTATGCTTGAGAAGGTGCTCTACCAACTTATCTCGGCTATTCCCTAGACCAAAATTTTCAGTCTCTCTCCAGTCTCTCAGAGTCTTTCACAATTTTTCAGCGTCTCTCACAATCTCTCAGTTATTGCCTGGGTGTTTTTATGGATCTCTCACAGTCTCTGTATGAGAGTAACGAACGATTAAATTGTTAATTCAAAGATTCAAGTCTCTCGTTCAGATATTCGAGTCCATCGTTCAGAGATTCGAGTTTCTCCTTCATAGACTGGATACGAAATAAACAGTTTTTTTGACAGTCTCTCGACAGTCTCAGCGACACCAGAGAGACTCGATGAAAGACGGAGACTCGAGTCTCGCTTTCAGAGACTGAGAGACTGAACATTTTTATCTCTTGATTTCTTATTGACTTCCATAGAGTCATCTGTTCTCCTATTCTTTTTAATACCACTTAATTTCTAACCTTCGCTATGCACGATATCCTCATCATCCGCCTATAACACCACATTTCGAACGCTTCTAATCTTTTCTATTCCGCCGCGCCCACTGTGTATGGTTCGAACCCGTACAGCGCCGCGCTCCAAATACACCTTTTAGAACATTTTTAGAATTTCTAATTTAAAAGGTTTTCTTAGAGACCTGACGAAGTTAAGAAACTGAATATTGGGATGCTAAAGGATCATTCGTTAATCTGTAATTTGTGGCAATTAATTTGTAAGGGGTATATTTCACCAACAGGGACCTGAAAAACTGACAAAAATTAAAAACAGCAACAACATGTAGGATGTGGGGTGGTAGGTTCAGCAAAATCGACGAAATTTAAATTTATATTACAAAGATTTGTCTTTCGGAGATGCCTACATTATTTACTTTATTAATCTAAAACAAGTTTTCCATACATTCTTCGACCAGTCAAAAAAATATATCATTTCTCAATCTTAACTTTAAGTAGTTACTATTCAAATATTCATACAACCGGAATTTCTTTGTCATTTTTATGATTAAAATATTTTGTGTGCTCTTCGAATTATATATTTGATGTAATAAAAGGTTTTGTCTTTTTTTATTAAAAGTTATATTGTATGTTGTCAAAATGACAATCAAACTTACACTATAAGTTATTACATTAATTTTTTTTAACTTTAATTATTAAAAATACAAAAACATAAACCAACGTTGTCATAGTTTAAATGAAGAACTCTCTTTTAAATTCAGTTAGTTTACTTTTTATAAGAATGTCCTCCTGTTTTACTAGTGCACCCTAAGAATATACGTACGTAATACCCCTTGCAATACTCTTAAAATAACAGAAATTAACTTGAGAGAAACTTACGTAATACGTTTGCAATACTTTCCTAACGAGAACTTAAGTTAATAAGCCGGGGAAAATATCGTCATGTGAACGTTTCAGCGTCAGGCACATCTGGCATCTGTTTGCTATTTAGTTCAGTTTGTTAATACTAAGGTCTTTTGTGTTTGGATAGGGGTACCGACCTACAATTGAACAAATTTCTTTCAATTTTAAATTCTATAAATAAAAACATTTCGCTTAAAATTGAAAAAGAGTCTAACAATACTATCGATTTCCTTGACATTCCCATATCCAAAAACTTCACACAATTCCTACTACCCTAAACAAACTAAGTATGCAGTTTTTCATAGTCTTATAGACTTATCAACGTACCCTTATCAGTCTCAGACTTTGACATCGAATTACAAACAATAAAATACATTGAAATTGTAAATAGATATTTCACTATTCTAATTGATAAAATGTTAAATAATAAATTGAAAAAACAAGTCAAAAAATTATTGTACAACAACGGTCCCCGGTGTCAACAAAAATTTATCTATAGAAACATTCAATTTATAAATAAGTTTAGCTGTGAATTCAAGCATCTGATTTAAAAATGATTCAATTGTAACATTATCGACAGTGGCTCTAAAAATCTGGAAAACTTCCTATCCAATCACAAAGATATGGTCCCGATTATCAAAAAAAGCGGTGTTTACTAAATTTTTTGAAACTCGTGTGTGATGCCACCTACATTGGACAGTCTGGTAGAGCTTCATCTATACGCGTAAAGTAACATTTGTCTGCAATAAAAAATAAAACAGCAACTCCAGTTGGATGGCCAAACACTGTATAAATCAAAAACATTGGTAACGTAAA